CAACCTGTTTCAGGAAAACGAATTTGAAAAATCGACACAGTGAAATCGGCACAAATTGGAGCATGCCACTTGTTTTCTGGTTCTACTCTTCGATTTTTCGAATTTAGCATCGCGGTCGCGGTCGCGGATAGGTCGCGAGTAGGTCCCGAAACGAACGTTCACGTAGGTATTGCTCGAGCACGCACATGCGAATGGACAACGATCAGTATGATCGATGGTCGTCCATGTGTATTGGCGTCAGCTTCAACTTATTTTTTGGTTTGCGATTAGAAAGACTCGAGCTAGATGTAAGTTTCAGCGGGCATCGCGCTCGAAGAAAGAAGAGGCTTGAAGCCGAAGAGGCCCGGCAAACTGCCACGAAGAGGGTCACAACAAATGGCTTCTCATCCTCTGGATCATTGAAATGATTTCAGAGCATGGGACGTTACTACTTTGTCACTATGCTCTCTTAGTATTTGTAGTTGTATTTCTTTTCTTCATCTTCATCACCTTTCATCATCGTTTTCGGCAAAAAACGCGGTTTTTGTTGTTGGTGTCGCGAGAAATTGATTACGGTTTAAGTTAGCGTTGCGAATTATGATACCGTGATTGTTTTTTTTTTTTGCGATTTTCATTATAAATTGTTGTGAATTCTTGGATAGTTGTATGTTAAATTTTGTCGTTTTTTATTTTATTCAATATTGGATTAGAAGAATGTTAATTATTAACTTTATATAGCTGCTATTTGTGACTTTTTCTGAATAATTGAAATAGTTCTCCTTTTAAACATACGCATTTAGAGAATTTAGTGTTGCGTTGATAAACGATCGCGTTTCTTTGAGTAATGTTGCGTTTATAAAATGCCGAAATCGTTTCCATACTGAGAAGTATGTTCCTGAATTACCTGATGTTGTATAGTTAAAAAGACTATACAAAGGTGATTGTCAGCAGTCTTCAACACAGATGTATTAAATCTCGTAATTAGTGTTGCGAATATTTAAACATGAGTGCATGAATTAATAATTATTTAGCGTTACGAAAATGAAATGTCCTGCTATAGTTTCGCGATTACTTTTGTCTCTTTTCTTAATGGTGAATTAATTCACTGTTGTAAATGTACGAAGCACTCTTCGCGGTTTATTTTCGGAATCTTTTATTTCATATCTGACATTAGCAAATTAATGTTGCGAAACAAAAGAGATATTCCATTCTCGGTTCATCGTTCGGGTTTAAATTGACGCTCGAGTCTCTTTTGTTGGTAATTAATTATATCTTGTGAAATTTTACTAAATTTGTTGTGATTCGAGTTTGTTTCAGGAACTTGTTGCGACATCGACAGAAGAACGCACATATCTCTTCACAGTTTTGAAAATTCTTTTTCTACAGATATTACAGAGATACAATCAAAATTAAAATGGACTATTACATAATAGTGGTACGGAGGAAACTCAAATATGCCAGTGATGATTTGATAACCTGCAAAGACAGATTAGCTTTTATGAGCGACAGATGATCTCTGAAATTTATACGAGAAAATTTAAAAATTAATAGGGACTTACAGCTCCGAAAGTGGATAAAGATAAATCAGCTATTCTGCCCGCACTAATTTTAGCTGGATTATTTGACACAGCAATGATTAAAATGAGGCCGTGTATCATTTTGGTCGGTAGATGAAACCAGTCGGTCATAAAACAAAACAATCCAACGCTACTGCTCTAGAATCAGAAATGAATCAGAATGATAGATGAATTAGAAGAATTAGAAAGCGCAGTACAGATTTAATAATAATATTACAAGTGGAGGAATTATAGAGTTATTTCCAACAGATTCGTTTCTCTCGAAGAATACTGTACCGAATCTTAACAAATGATAAAAAAGATATACCTTTTCCATCAGAAGTTCGCCAATATAGCACAGTATGAATATGTTAAATGTCAGAGACACTAGTAACATCATGTACGTTGTAAGACTGATGGTGTTACTTTGTTCCCAGTCCTGTTGCGAGCAAACGATCGTAAATTTCCAAAACACCATATAAAAAATAAAATGGAACGAACCGTTATGCAATAATATTCGAGTAGACATATCATAAAGGTGGATCCAACGAATTCTAGGAAGCATACTTCTTGCAGCACTGTCTCTACCGTTCCTGAAAATCTGCAATCACGTATTTGCACTCTCATCGTCACTGGTCGATAGAAATTGAGTAAGCTCAATGAATAAATACATCACCAGTACCTTAAAATTCGCAAATGATGCTCGACAATTTCTATTAGCCGCGCGTTTGCATTGGATGTCGCTTTGTTACGTTCACCGTGCATGAGATCGTTCAATCGAGATATAACGATGTCGATTTGCCCACAGGCGTGCGTGGCGAAAAGCGCGGCTAGCCCACAAGCACCGGCAGTTATGGAATACATCACGTAACCACACATGCAATGAAGAACGTACACTAGTTCGTAGATCGGGCTACTTTGAACGTCGTACAGCGCGCTGTACGTAGGATAGACCAGAGGTTTGATCGTACGATTATGCTCGCCGATAAACGTGCCGATCGC